CTACCATGTTCATCATTACGAGGAACAATATGAACATGCGAGTGAACCGAGTTACCTCTGGAAGTAGCCGGACTGCGCGAAGTTCTCATATGTGGTCACGATGGTGTTCGCGACCTCATTCTGCTCTGACGCTCTTCATTCAACTTCGCCAAAGATGCGATAACCGTATCCAATGCAGATTTCACCTCCTAATAGTTCCGCTCCACAGCTTCCAACCTATTCTCCATTTTCCCTCTTGTTCTAACCATTCACAGATCGAACGAGGGTTTTCCGATAGTTGCGCTCAACTTCCGATCACCAGCGCTGCTTCTCCAGAGTCGTATGCTCTGATACCAATGATAGAGCTCGAATCATACAGTATGAAATTACGGAATATCAATGAACACATACAGAACACACAGTTTATTCAATCCAGTCAAAGTATACAAAGTTTAGACAATTCGAGATGTCCAATCTCCCGGTCCTGTTCTAGCCAAAATCCAACCTACTTCTGCTAGCTGAACATCTCTATTTATAGTAAAGGTCCACGCAGGGACAACAGACTAACTAACTAACCCTCCTGTTAGTTATTAGTTATTAGCAGTAATCTTATTACTTCTTCTTTTGTACACTTTATTATAAAATTCTACCGGTTGCCTTGCTGCTTGTCTAACATACTCCAAGTTGGAGTTTCCCCAGTACGATAGATCCAGTGATCCGCTAGCTTGGCTGAAGCAGTGCGAGCGATTCTTCATCCAGCAGCACACCCAACCACAGGCACAAGTAGGGTTGACTACTTTTCACATGACTGTAATGCCCAACTCTGGGCAGACCAGTTGGATCCGGCAGGAGCCGGACTTCCCTGGACAGAGTTCTATATTCAGTTATTCACTGCTCAAAACGATTTAGGCCACCAAGCAGCCACAACCCGGAGGGTGATCTGGTGAATTTAAAGCAAACGTCTAACTTAGAATCTTACATCACCAAGTTTCAGCAGTTGCTAGCCCGAATAGCTGGAGTTTTAATCCACATGCAAATCAAAATTTTTATGGATGGACTTGGAGAGAGAGTATGCATGGAGGTCGAATACCAAGACCCCGCATGATGCTCGCCTGTAGCAGCGAACGCAAATTCCTTGCAGCTGCGACTCGACAAACAATAGTACATATGGATCAGCTAGGTCCAGAACTTAGTTTTAAAAGGCATGAGGCGGCGCAAGGCGTTTTCATTGATTTACCGAGGCGCGAGGCGCAAGGCGACGAGGCGCGCGCCTCACGGTTCTTAACATCATATCTTTGGTAAGATATATTTATACTATTTCTAGTCTTCTACATGAAGCACTCATCTCAAAAAATGATAAGATCACAAAAATACTTCAAACTATTAAACAATCTTAACATACATCATAAGAGAAACCAAATATTTATTAAGACAGTAGCAAGAAATAAATATCAAACGGCATCATTGGCAAAAGTCAAGTCACAAAACTCAATTTTAAAAATTTCAAAACAAAATTAATAAGATGTTATATAAAAAATTGTTAAACAAAATCAAATATTTGGTACTCAGCATGATCTAGAACAGACCAACAGAGGTAGTAACACTACAATTTCAAGGTAATAAAATATAATATAATACATACTTAAACTTAATTAATAAACTATATACGTATAAAAGAAACTGTAGAAGAGAAGAAATTAATACCTACCTGCGACTACTCTGCGAGTCCTGCGACGTGAGAAAGTAGCGGAAGAAACGGGACAGCAGATGTGGGAACTCGGAAGCAAAGCAAACGCAGAAGGAAGAAGGGAGAAGAAGGAATAAGGAAGAAGACTAGAGAGACATCCATGAGGCGTGAGAAGCGTGCGCCTCTCAGAGGCGCAAAAGGCGTCAAAAAGCGTCGTATAAGGCGCGCCTCTTGGAACCTACGCCGCCTGGGGGTTGAAGATGCGATAAAGTGTTCGCCTTAGGGCGCCTCGCGCCCTTGCGCGCCTCAGGCGCGCTTTTTTAAACTAAGGTCCAGAATTCAAATCCCTCACTCCAATCACTCAGTTCTCCTCGACCCAGCACCGCTAATGAAAAATTGCAATCCTACGTTAAAAATTTACCCCGGGCTGAAGCTGCTGCACAACAAGAAAAGGGATGATGAAAAGTGAATCCGTGGCCACAAGTGAAAAAGATTATTTTTTGTCAAAATAGTGGATGACGAACTTGGAGATGCCCAAGAAACCCCAATTGAGCCCTCGTTGTCATTCAACACAATGGCTGGGTTCGGGTCACATTCATCATGCAACTGGACACAACCTTATCCGGCCAGTCCTTGACGGTTTTGGTCAATTCAGGAAGTACTCACAATTTTTTCCACCAATGTTGGGTCCCCAAGAACACACTTTAGCAGCACACTGGAGCACGCCTACATGTTTTGGTGGCTATTGGAGACCGGGTACCCATCATTGGTACATGTTCACAACTTCCGTTCACTATTAACAATGATTACTTTCATGTAGATTTTTATGCATTGCTGTTGTCCGGTTTTTATATGATTTTGGGCATCCAATGGCTTTGCAGGCTTGGCTCCATCCAATGGGACTTCTCAAAAATATCCATGCAGTTCACCTGGAATACAAGCCAGTGGTATGGCAGTGTCACGGTACCGACGTTTCAACTGTCTCTCACATGCGGTCTGCCAGGACAGTGCTAACCCCTCTCTCAATGAGCTTCTGTAAACTTTGGTGATCTCATTCACACTCCCTCCATCCTTTCACCCCAGTGTGCATGTGATTGCCACATTACTTTACTCCCAGGCAGGGGCCTGATTGTGGTTCATCCATACCGCTACCATTATTTCCAAAAGATGAGATTGAAAAACAGTGTTCTATAATATTGTTGCGCGGGATTATTCAACCAAGCCACTCTCCGTTTTACTCTCCGGTCATCCTCGTACGTAAACCAGACACATCTTGGCATTTTTGCATTGATCAGAAATAGTTAAACACTTAAACTCTAACCTTGAAAAAATATTCTATTAGACTCAAGTCCCTTAGATCTTTTTTAATCCCATAATGACCCAACTTTTATGGTCATCTTTTGCATTTATATATGACCGTGTTACAAGAGCATAACTGAACTTGTCTAGTAACTAAATTATCCTAGTGAGTAAATTCTATTGATCGGACCTCGTAGATAGACAACTCAGTAAGGTCTAGAACCTAGTAGCAGGTAATTGCTGATTACACAAACCAGCTCTTATTCTTTTCTAGAATCTGTAGTGCTTTTATGACATCAGTTGCAAGCACCAAAAGTAATAAGGGTTGAATTCAGATCATCATCTAAAATTAAGGCCTAGTTTCATGCTTATCCTACCGGTGTTTATTAGTTATTACTGCATAGTACCTCATTGGGCATTTCTTTTGTCTCCACTAACCATAAGGTATTTCATTAAAATGTTAATTTAACAGCTTATTATTCCATTTGTGCACATACAATACTTCTCTACTAAGTTACAATTGTAATTTTATTTTTAAAAATGAATGTTAATTTTCAAGGCGGATTGCTCTCTAATTCTCTTATCATCATTTTTCCCTTTATCTTCTTTATCTTTGTTATGTTTTTTATCCTTTTATCCTTTTATTTTCCATATAATTGTATATGGAACTGATTTCAAAGTTGTTTATCCACCAGACTTCCCCTCTCAAATTATAGGGGCAATCATGTTGGATAAAGTTTGTTTGCCTTACATTAGCTGATCCTGTTTTTTCTCTCTTATGAACTTTATTTACTGTAGAATTCTGCATTTTACATTTGCTTGCTTTTTCGTTTACGTTTGCATGCATTTTGATATGTGTGTTTTCATGTATTTCGAAGAGGAATGCCTCTTTCGGGGAGAGGTTTCAGCCCTACGTCCCCCTCTCTTTTTTGTAATTTCTTTATCTTCTTAATAAACTTGGTAAATGTTCCCCCCCGGCATTTAACCCACTGATTTTGGTGGTTTGTTAACCGGGATAATATATATATATACACACATTCTTTTTATCTTATCATTTTTATGTATATCTTATCTCTATTTTATCTTTTTTTTGTTATCTTTTTATCATACCTTATTTTTATCTTTCTTTTTCTTTTGGATCCAATATCATGTATCGATTCATGTTAGCCAACCCCAAAATCTTTTGGGACCAAGGCTTGGATGTTGTTGTCATGTTAATTTTAAAAAAATACCAAAAAAAGAAACAATGGTTCCAATTTTACCAATCTCTATGTACTACATTTGCAAGGAATTTAGGATGTAGTACAAGATTAGAAAAAACTTTAGGCAATGGAAGTATAATAAAAGGATATAATAGTCAATTTGTATAATATTTGAATGGGATGACTCACTGGTAAAGTTCATTCATACTCAAGGCTCAAAAAAGTGCTGCAGAATATATATATAGGAACTGACAACAGAGTGACAGACATGTGGCTTCATTGCGAGCAGGTAAAGTGAAATTAACTACAAGATGCAAAACATATTGACTATTTTGCATAGCTGGTGGCTGAATGCTTAGATTGGTTGGGCAGTTCAGATATTAAACTTTTAGCGATTTCCCCACTTATCACACATCTACAATTTTATGTTCTGCAGTTCAAGAAAAATCCTTAGAAATGTTACACAAAAAGAGCTCTAATGTCATTGAAGGACAATAAAGATTTAGGGGAAATGGTTATTTTGTCCCGTAGTTATCGTGTAGGTGTTATACTTAGCCCCTAAGTAATTTTAGTGTTTAGAAATTCCCTCCAAGTTGTGACCATAATTGCAGCTTCAGTGCCTAAATTTGGAATAATTCACCAAAATGGCCACCTTATCCTTAAAATAAGACTCGAAACTGCAGATACAAAGTCAACATTATTGTATTCTGAGAGAAAAATAGTCATTTTTCCAACTATTGGGTTTGAGTTCTTGAATAGAAAAAGGTAATATTTCTAAAAGCATTACACATGAACTTTCAATCCAAATTCATTAACAAAGAAGTATTAATTACCGAGTTAAGCAATTTCAGGTTAGCAGTAATATTTGCATAGCTATCTTTGATCAGGACATCCAACCTTGATAAATTTGCCAATGATGGAGGGAACCTCCTGAAAGAGAATTGAGGTGGCAGCTAAACATCAGTACTAATTGACTAATATAATACCAAAAAAAAGTCAATCACTCAATGGCAACTTTTTTTTACATATCAACATTTTCCTTAACGCCTGGTACTGTTTAACCAACCCTACTCAAAGAACTACCAAGTCTACCATTGATGCACGGAAATCAGAATATTTGCAAAAAGATAGAACAATAGGAAAAAAGAAGGCAGCAGAAAGGAACTTACTCAAGCACGACATTAGCAGCAGGGCTTCCAGAACCAAACCACTTGATATTCCATCTACCTTCCAAAACGGGAGACCTGCAAAGAAGGGAATACACAAATGAGCATCTCATCAAGGTGCTTTTGTACATTTACCCTACGTTGGTCAGAGCAAACACCTTACGTTGTTGGGCGAGGGGTGGGATTGAGTCGCTCGAGTCCAATTATCCTCTCATTGACATCAATCCGCTGCATATCCCTAATTTTTCCTGTTACTAGTGCCTCAAATCCTCCAGCATCTTTGAACTGGAATTAGAACTCAATTATTCAACATGCAAATTCATTTCCAAGCATATAATAAGCATAGAAGAAATTCAAGAAGCACGTTGACTACGTTCAAAAAAAATCTTTGTTCTCATCTTTTCAATAAATCAGTTCAAACCAGAAATAAATCAGTCCAAACCAGAAACACACACAATGTTAGACTTCCAGCAATCTTTGTTCTCATCTTTTCAATGAACAAATTTACAGAGATTGATGTTATACAAAGGATACTAGATAACGGGAGAAGGGAATGAAGTGAATTACAGCAAGAAGCAAAGACTCCTTAGCAGAAAGCCTTTCCATCTCTTTAGCAAAAGCAGCTGATGCTCCGCCTTGAACAGTCTGCTGAACCATGGCTCTACAAGTTCGCAGGTGTGTCTTCCCATTCCGGAGATTGTTTCCTGGGAAAACTCCTATAGAAGCTAAGAAGGGAGAGGCAGGTGGAAATGACGGCGAATAAAACGAGAGCGGAGCGTGCAGATTCATAGAAAAAGCCATGGAAGTTGGAAGATAAGAAACTGAACAGATTTTAGTGTGTCTGAACAAATACAGACACACGGATCACACTCTTTTTGAGAATTTGCCGGGTGAATTTGATACTCAAATTTCTCTCCCACCACAAGTAGAGTACCTCACAAACTTACGAGAGTGCAAATGTATACTCAAATTTCTGGTGTTTGCCCCAAAATCCACACAATTTATCAATTTATTACTCGTATATACTACCTCCGTCCCGGTGGACTTTGATAAGTGCAAAGTATGTGAGAAATAAAAATAGTAAAAAACTAAAAACTGTATAGTTGAGATTTGTGAAGAGGAGATAGAAATGTGCAGAACCACAAATTAGTTACTCCCTTCGTCCCAGTCATTTCTTCCGGTTTAGACCGGTATCGCAAATTTAGGTAGTGGGAATAAAGTGAAAATGTATGGTTGTAGTTGTGTAAGAAAAAGGTGAATGAATGTGAATCACATATTTTTTCCAAAAGTGGAAGTTGGAAGAATTAATTGGGACGGTCCAAAAAGGAAAGTTGGAAGAAATGACCGGGACGGAGGGAGTATTTTAATAGCAAAGTGGAAAAGTTTTTTGGGACAACCAAAAAAAAAGTTGACAAAGTCCAATGGGACGGAGAGAGTATATAATACTACCTTCATCTCTTAATTAAAGTCACTGTTTGACTTTTTAAGTCTAACTTATTAAACATTGACCGTTTGTTACTCAAAAATAATAATGGTTTATCCCAAAAAAATATTTAACGTGCTTCATTGTAATATATATTATTCAAATGTCAATTTATTATAGATTCTATAGGTATATATTAATAGATGGTTATGGTCAAATGTCCGCCTAGGAGACCGCAAAAGTCAAACTGTGACATTAACTGTGGGACGGGGGAGTAAATTTTAGATGAACTATAGTATTACAAATTTAAATAATTAAACTATATTTCGGTCTGGTTCCAAACTTCTAGTGAACTAGCAAAGACTCTGAAAGTGTAAAGGCATTAATCAAAGTAATGGTATAAATGTACATTTAAATAATTAAATCATATTTTGGTTCGGTCCAGTCCGGTACCGGTTCTCATTTTATGAGAACCGATCATGACATTGTTTGGAACCGGTACGGTCCGGTTCGGGATAAAAAAATTGAGATCCGTTTCAAATCCCATTTTTCAGTCCGGTAGCATACCGTTCTGGTTTGGTACCATGTCGGTTCAGTATTTTTGCCCATCCTTAGTTGAAACTAATCCAACATGAAATACTAAATATAAAGATGTTTTTACTTGGACTGTTTTCAGTCCCAGACCATACCAGACTTAAACAGACCAAAACATATTAGACCAGACTTAAACAGACCAGACTTAAACAGACCAGACCAGACCAGACTTCAGTAGTTATGAAAATACACAGAGACCAGACCATACTAGACCAGCAAAATACAGTCCAAGTAAAAACATCCTAAATATAAATGTATATGAATGCTCTGTTTATCCGAGCATTCTAGCTCAGCTGGTTGTGAGGTTACCGTGTCTAGTGAGAGGTCTCGAGTTCGAAACCCGCTAGGCACATAAGGGTTTGAAACTCAATGGAGCGAATTTCAGCCTTGATTACTCCAGCCCCCCCCCCCCCCCCCCCATACGCCCCTAGAGTAAAAAAATGTTTTGTTTTTACGTGGAAACCCACAAGGAAGAAAACCACAAGACTTTTTGGGCTAATGTCCAAGCCTCTCTCATTTTATTGATGCTCTCCTCATCATTATTACATTGTACAAGCTCCCATTAATAGAGTATTCGAACTTCTAAGCTAAGTGAAGAAAAGGATAGTGGTAGGGGGTCGTATGTACACAGGTTTACCCCTATACTACAACACAGAGACTGTTTCCGAATGATCCATAGTGAAAATCGCGTCGAAAATTGCATAGACTGATTGTTACTTCATAACAAAGAAGCGCTGACAGTTTAGTGAGTCGTTTTTCTTTTTTCCATCATATTCCCAAGCCATAAAATAGTGAGTCTTTGGCTCCATTAAAAATGATGGAAAAGGGAAAACCTCCTTTAAATAAGAAAAAACGGGAGGGTCTACAAAGCTACCCTAATGGGCCAAAAGGGGCCGAAATGGGCCGCATGGGCCAGCGTGGACCGGGTGGGCCGAAATGAGCCTCACTCCAGGTATAGGTAAACTTTTTATAGTGACTAACTTCACTGCTTTCACGGCTCCTTACCTCAGAAACACAACTTTGACTTGGCCCTGTGGGTTAGTATACACTGCTTGGCCCTACTACTTGAAGGTTTTTTTGGGGAGCATAGTACCACTGGTGCTAGTGGAACTCGAACACGAGACATCTCCTGTGCAGGGGTAACCTCGCAACTAACTAGGCTGGAAGTTCTAGTTAAAAGGTGAAGGCGAGAGTTAACTCGTTCAACCTCATCCAAGTAGCTCGCCCCAGTTGGGAATGCAATTTCTGATGAAACATCGGGTCCTGATTACTTGCCTTGATCTCGACTGAGTGCTTTAGCCACGGCAGCAGGGTTAGTCGGGCTTCCTTGATTGGACTAAGTTTTTTTGAACTCTGAGATATGTGGCAATATAGGCAAACACTTAAAAAAAGCGGGGTAGGCATAGGCCGACGAGTCGCTGGCGGCGCTAGGGTCATGTGGTGGTGGCGCTGGGCGGCGCTTAGGCAGATAGGCTAAGGATGGCGCTAGGAAGCTGTGGGGGGACGGGGAAGCAGAGGAAGGAGACTGGGGCTGGGATGGGCATAGGGGCGGCGACTGCGGTGGCTGGGCGGTGATGGGGGTAGGTCAGTTGTGGCGGGGGGCTAGGTGGCGGGGTTGGCATTGGATAGGGCTGTGAAGATGTGAGGGGTTGGGGGAGCAGGGGGCAGTGGAGGGGCTGGGGTAAGGGGCTGTAAGCAGTCTCACGCAATGGCGGCGGTTTCAAGGCGGTAGGGTGATGGTTTCTGGCGAAAATTTTGAGGGGGAAAAGTCTCCGGAAATTTTTCCGATGACACAGGGACACGTTTTCCGGTATAGTGACATCTGAAAGTGACATTAAACCCGTTAGTGACATTTGAAAAGTGACATAAAAATCTAGTAGTGACATATAAAAGTGACATTAAAATCAGACGATCACATAAAAAATGACAGTGACATCATGTTTTTTCAAATATGTGACCCTTTTAGTCACATTTTTGTCCTTTTGTAAAGATGGTCACATTTTTGGAAATTAGCTTCAAGTTAGTAATATTCAAGGAAAAAGCTCATACTGTATTTCATTCAAGATGTCACCAATTTTGAGCCCGCCAGATAAGTTATTAAATTTTCATCTGCTAAATAAAACCTTTAAAAACTGGCGTGGTTGAATCGTTTGAATCTAATCGAATTGATGAAATTCTGATTGAAGCGGAGGAATGGATTAAATCTGCTACATTATTGAGAAAAAATAAGTTGTACTTTATTAATAAAATAAGGGAAAGAATATATTAAAATAGGGGGAAATAATTTAAATATCTCAGACTTTGGATGAGAGTGAGATAAGTACTTCAAACTTGCACGTGTAATATATAGTATATACCCCAAACTTTATATTAAAGTTATGTTAGCATCATGAACATATTTTTTTCACAAATGTAATTTCATTGTATTAAGTACATAATTTAAAACACACAAAACATTTATGAGGATATATGCAATTAAAGTTTTTTTGAAAGAATATGCAATTAAAGTTAAATTGTACCGGATGTAATATTATTTATTTTACAAATGAAATTTTACAATGTTAATTGCATTCTAACAAAGCTTAAGACTATTTTAAATTAAGTAATTATCCCAAAAAAAATTATATTTGTAAAAAACAGGCAATCATGATGCAAAAATAACTTTTATCTAAAATTCAGGATATAAATATTACATATGCAAGTTTGGGATACTTGTTTCACAACCCATTAAAATTTGTGGTATTTAAATTATTTTACACTATAAAAAATAGTTAAAATAGTTCAATCCACTAATTTCAATGAGTTCAACTAGAAAAGCAACTCTAACTTATTTATTTTGATTATTACATTATTCATCGCGTCAACACAAAAATGTTACTAACTTACTTATTTTGATTATTACATTATTCATCTCGTCAACACAAAAATTACATGTTTAATAATAAAAATTAGATGATAAAATTGATAGATCAAAAGTAACCAAGTGTTGCCAAACCGGCTCCTAAAGTTTGTATATACGGAGTAATACGAAGTATAAAACTTACATAAACTTTACGTTTATCACATTGATGGAGTATATGGGTCTGAGCCCCAGGACCCACATACTCGGAAGAACCGAGCACAAGACAACAGAGTGGCGCCCTCGTCGGCCAAGACGCCCCCGTCGGCCGAGAAGAAGCCAACTCGGATCATGGTCCTGAGTCCAAGGAACCCGGGTGCCCTCGTCGGCCGTGCCCTCGTCGGCCGTGCCCTCGTCGGCCACGCCCTCGTCGGCCACGAGGACCTCCCAGAATCGGATCCTATACTTACTCATTTGTACAGCCCATTAGAGGCTTTGTATTCGGCCCAGTAGCGGTCCAGTTGTAGATGGGCCTCCCAAGCCCAAGGCTTGGGAGCCCAACCCTAATTTTCTCTATAAATACTCCCCTTGGGAGTAGTTATAGGGGTTACAAAATCATTCTATTGAAGCATATTATTGCACTTCTCTCTCTAACTCTCACTTCTCTCTAGAATTTAGGAGTTAATACTCTATCATTTGGTGCTCTCGTTGAGAGCTAGAACAATCAAGTTAGCACCCTTCGTCGCTACCAAGCACAGCTAACCACTGATCATGGGGAGAACTAAGTCAAACCGCAACCTCGTCAGCAAAGTCATCCCTGAGGACCAAGAGCCCAGGGAGCACGATGAGGAAGCCACGGCCGACCAGGTCGGCGGAGGGGACCTCTTCCAGGAGGCCTTCAACCTCACGACGGACCTCCGCAACCAACTCAACGGCGGAGTCCCCGACGCCCGCCTCGGCCTGGAAAAGAAACGAGCTGAGAAAGCGGACCACGCCCCGGCCCAGCCTATGGCCGCGGCCTCTCCGTCCGTAGATCCTCAGGTCCAGGCCGCACTGTCGGCTATCATCGCCAGCTTGGCTCAGAATCCCACCGTCCTCAGCGCACTCTTGCCAAGGACCGGGGGAAACGTCACTCCGCCTCCTCATCCCC